TTGTAATATGCGCTTAATAAATATACAGCCATTACAGTAATTGAAAATAATATAAGAGTCTAAACAAAATGGGATATTAATTAATTAATTAAGACATAGTTCGTGATGGAGACCAAATAACTTAGAAAATTGTAACTAATTCTATTTAGTATATATAGCCTATCTGATAGGCATATTTAATAAATTTTTGCCGGTCGTCATATTTCGCCAAAATATCAGGAGCCACTAAGTAAGGGTCAATATGGACTAGCTTGCCATCGAGGTGCTCCCTCAGCCTATCGTCAAGGGTTAAAGAACTGCTCAAAAACAGTAAATTATTAGGCCCCATAAAAAAGTTATTAGTTTATCACCCTATCAAAGAATAAAAACTGATGAGGGAGGGAGGGTTTTTTTTTTTTTTTTTTTTTTGTGCTAACCCCGTCCCCATTTCACACAAAGTAAATCAAAGGTTAGAGACATATATAAAAAGTCATAAGAATGGAGTCAAATTTATATTTTAAAAATAGGTTTTTGTTGTGCCAGTAAACATATTTGCAAGAAATCCTAAGCTTTTCAAGTGAAAAAAGATAGAAAAAGTACCGTTTGAAATAAAAATATATGTTGATTGGAGAAAAAAAAAAAAAATCAGATTTTCCCCAAAAGTGATGAGGGAACGGGTGATAAATTAATAATAATTTTTTTTTATGGGGCCTTACAGTATATATAATATGAAATTGGTTTTAAAGTAGTAAAATCATAAAAAATATGTTACTGTACATGAAATTCAACTGCTAAAAAGAGTAAATTAAATTAAACTACAGTAGGCCGCTACGATATTATACACAGAAACGGGCATTAGACACAGAATTTGGCTTCTCAATTCTCAAGCCGCAAACAAAAACAGAGCCACATAGGGCCTATATAAAGAGTTGCGACATTCCGTTGATTGGTTCGCGAAAGTCACGTGGTACACACCGTCCACTTTGTGTCATAATCTTCTCGATGAACACATGCAAAGTACAGTATATGAGTTACGTACATTGCATATTAATTTCACACACTTAATTGGGTCAAATATACTAGAAATACAAGAGAGCACTCGCATAGTAAAAATGAGGCGGAAATTGGGCCTGACGTATGCGGCGCCTTCTTTTTTATAATGCAAGTTTCCTATATTTCTTTTTATAATGCAAGTTTCCTATATTTCGGGCCTGACGTGCGCCCTTCTATTGCAATGCTACGTACAAGGGCCACATTTATCAAACTAGAATTCAGCTTAAATTTGTCTTAAGTCCATTTTTTTTTTGCTTAAGTCAAATTTCGACTGTGCACAAATCAAATATCTTGTTCATTCCCCCAGTAAACGGAAAGCTGAATATTCATAGATTCTTCTCATTATAGTATATAAATTGATGAAAAAAATCACCATCAAAACACTAATTTCAATATCAATGAACAATCCTGTCTAGGCATTATGCCCGCAAAAATGCGAAGCTTTGGTATAGCCTTCCGCCACCACTGTCAGAGGTCTGAAGGCCCTGAAAAACAATATTTTGTGAGGGTGATCCATCCAGCCTGAGCTGATCAATTGGGACCCTCAGTACATACAATTAGAACATAACGTCGCTCACATCACGAACTAACACAATCAAAGTAGATTGTGTTAGTTCGTGAAATCACAGTAGCGCGTCAAAACGAGCGCGTATTGGTTGTCAAGCAATTTTGTATTCTTTACCACACAAAAAGTCCTTAGCGACAACAGCGCGTATTTTGACGCGCTTTTTTTATTTCACGAACTAACATAGTTGAATTTAATCGTGTTAGTTCGTGATGTGAGCGACGATAAGTATAAAAATTTAACATGATCTTTAACATAAACAAATAAATTAAATTAAACCAGAATATGAATTCCCATTGGATGAAAAAAAAATCACCATCAAAACATTAATTTCAATATTAATGAACAATCCTGTCTAGGCATTATGCCCGGAAAAATGCGAGGCTTTGGTATAGGCTTCCGCCAAAAATATAGGTTCATGTGGGAACCGAACACAACCTCCAGGTTTGCTATTCATTATCCACATTCGACTAAACTGCCTTAAAAAAAAAAAAAAAAAAAAAAAAAAATTGGTACGTGTGGGAATCGAACACACAACCATCAGGTTTGCTATTCATTATCCACCATCAACTAAATTGCCTTAAAAAAAAAATTGGTTCGTGTGGGAATAGAACACACAACCTCCAGGTTTGCTATTCATTATCCACCATCAACTAAACTGCCTTAAAAAAAGATTCGTGTGGGAATCGAACACACAACCACCAGGTTTTACTATTCATTATCCACCATTAACTAAACTGCCTTAAAAAAAAAAAATGGTTTGTGTGAAAAAAAAAAAAAAAATGATTCGTGTGGGAATTGAACACACAACCACCAGGTTTCCCGTAACATTATTAATCTTGTTTTTTTTTTTCTAATTTGCATATGAATTTTTCAAACATTTTTGTCTATTTAAAAAAAAATGCGTAAGTTATGGAGATGGTAACAATCAAAAATCGATTAAAAATTTAATTCTACATTTATTAGACAAAAAAATAAACCCTTTTGGCCCACGACCCATTTTTGACACCATGAGCATGCGTAATAGTAACCTGTAGTGTATATATACAAAGAATTTTTTCTAGTAGTATCAGAGTTGACTAACTGGTACTTGGTGTGGTACTAGGTTTATCGCATTTATGGTTTAGGGGCCGCGGTTTACCTCCCTCCGTATAGTCATGCTGGATCAGGAGTAGTAAACTCGGCGATCGTGGGTTCGATTCTCACACGGGGCAAGTTTTTTTTTTTTAATTTTTTATTTGAAGGGCGTGGGTTCGATTCCCACATGAGCCATTTTTTTTTTTTTTTTTTTTTTTT